ATTGATTTGCAGATGTTGAACCAACCTTGCAGCCAGGGATAAATCCCACTTGGTTGTGGTGAATAATCCTTTTAATGTACTGTTGGATCCTATTGGCTAGTATTTTGGTGAGAATTTTTGCATCCCTGTTCAAGGATATTGGTCTGTAATTCTCCTTTTTGATGGGGTCTTTGGTTTGGGGATCAAGGTAATGGTGGCCTCATAAAACGAGTTTGGAAGTTCTCCTTCCATTTCTATTTTTTGGAACATTTTCAGAAGGATAGGTATTAATTCTTCTTTAAATGTTTGGTAGAATTCCCCTGGGAAGCCATCTGGCCCTGGGCCTTTGTTTGTTGGGAGATTTTTAATTACTGCTTCAATTTCCTTAGTGGTTATAGGTCTGTTCAGGTTTTCTATTTCTTCCTGGTTCAGTTTTGGTAGTTGATATATCTCTAGGAATGCATCCATTTCTTCCAGGTTATCTAATTTGCTGGCATAGAGTTGCCCATAATATGTTCTAATAATTGTTTGTATTTCTTTGGTGTTGGTTGTGATCTCTCCTCTTTCATTCATGATTTTGTTGATTTGGGTCATTTCTCTTTTCTTTTTGATAAGTCTGGGCAGGGGTTTATCAATCTTGTTAATTCTTTCAAAGAACCAACTCCTAGTTTTGTTGATCTGTTCTACTGTTCTTTTGGTTTCTATTTCCTTGATTTCTGCTCTGATCCTTATTATTTCTCTTCTCCTGCTGGGTTTAGGCTTTATTTGCTGTTCTTTCTCCAGCTCCTTTAGGTGTAGGGTTAGGTTGTATATTTGAGACCTTTCTTGTTTCTTGAGAAAGGCTTGTATTGCTATAGACTTTCCTCTCAGGACTGCCTTTGCTGTATCCCAAAGATTTTGAACAGTTGTGTTTTCATTTTCATTGGTTTCTGTGAATTTTTTAAATTCTTCTTTAATTTCCTGGTTGACCCATTCATTCTTTAGTAGGATGTTCTTTAGCCTCCATGTATTTGAGTTCTTTCCGACTTTCCTCTTGTGACTGAGTTCTAGTTTCAAAGCATTGTGGTCTGAAAATATGCAGGGAATCATCCCAATCTTTTGGTACAGGTTGAGACCTGATTTGTGACCTAGGATGTGATCAATTCTGGAGAATGTTCCATGGGCACTAGAGAAGAATGTGTATTCCGTTTCTTTGGGATGGAATGTTCTGAATATGTCTGTGAAGTGCATTTGGTCCAGTGTGTCATTTAAAGTCTTTATTTCCTTGTTGATCTTTTGCTTAGATGATCTGTCCATTTCAGTGGGGGGGGTGTTAAAGTCCCCCACTACTGTTATATTTTTGTCGATGTGTTTCTTTGCTTTTGTTATTAATTGGCTTATATAATTGGCTGCTCCCACGTTAGGGGTATAGATATTACAATTGTTAGATCGTCTTGTTGGATAGACCCTTTAAGTATGATATAGTGTCCTTCCTCATCTCTTATTACAGCCTTTGGTTTAAAATCTAATTTGTCTGATATAAGGATTGCCAGCCCAGCTTTCCTTTGGTGTCCATTAGCATGGTAAATGGTTTTCCACCCCCTCACTTTCAATCTGGGGGTATCTTTGGATCTAAAATGAGTCTCTTGCAGACAGCATATAGATGGGTCTTTTTTTTATCCAATCTGATAGCCTGTGTCTTTTGACTGGGGCATTTACCCCATCGACATTCAGGGTAACTATTGAAAGATATGAATTTAGTGCCATTGTATTCCCTGTAAGGTGACTGTTACTGTATATTGTCTGTGTTCCTTTCTGGTCTATGTTGCTTTTAGGCTCTCTCTTTGCTTAGAGGACCCCTTTCAAGATTTCTTGTAGGGCTGGTTTTGTGTTTGCAAATTCCTTTAGTTTTTGTTTGTCCTGGAAGGTTTTTATCTCTCCTATTTTCAATGACAGCCTAGCTGGATGTAGTATTCTTGGCTGCATATTTTTCTCATTTACTGCTCTGAATATATCATGCCGGTCCTTTCTGGCCTGCCAGGTCTCTGTGGATAGGTCTGTTGCCAATCTAATGTTTCTACCATTGTAGGTTACATATCTCTTCTCCCAAGCTGCTTTCAGGATTTTCTCTTTGTCTCTGAGACTCGTAAGTTTTACTATTAGATGTCAGGGTGTTGACCTATTTTTATTGATTTTGAGAGGGGTTCTCTGTGCCTCCTGGATTTTGGTGCCTGTTTCCTTCCCCACGTTAGGGAAGTTCTCTGCTATAATTTGCTCCAATATACCTTCTGCCCCCCCCCCTCTCTTCTTCTTCTGGGGTCCCAATTACTCTAATGTTGTTTCATCTTATGGTATCACTTATCTCTCGAATTTTGCCCTCGTGATCCAGTAGTTGTTTATCTCTCTTTTTCTCAGCTTCTTTATTTTCCATCATTTGGTCTTCTATATCACTAATTCTCTTCTGCCTCATTTATCCTAGTAGTTAGAGCCTCCGTTTTTTATTGCACCTCATTAAGAGCCTTTTTGATTTCGACTTGGTTAGATTTTAGTTCTTTTATTTCTCCAGAAAGGGTTTCTCTAATAACTTCCATGCTTTTTTCCAGCCCAGCTAGTATCTTTAAAACCATCATTCTGAACTCTAGTTCTGACATCGTACTAATGTCTGTATTGATTAGGTCCCTGGCAGTCATTACTGCCTCTTGTTCTTTTAGTTGAGGTGTTTTTTTCTGTCTTGTCATTTTGTCCAGAGGAGAACAGATGAATGAGAACAAAATGCTAACAGTGTAACAATGTCTCCAGAAAATATACACTAAACAAATCAGAAAAGACCTGAAACCGGGGGAAAACAAAGGGAAAGAAAGAAAAAAGAAAAAGAAAAAGATAAAAACAAAACAAAACAGAATATGATCAAATATGATCAGGCTGGTGCAGAGATCAGTGCCACACACTAGATTTGGGGCGTATTTTGGTCTGTTAGAAGAAAGTGCCTCCCAAAATTTTAAAGAAAGAAAAACTTATATATGTACAAAAATAAGGGTTAATACGATGAAGGGATGGAATATGACTGTAAAGATGAAAAGTATAAAAGATTTTATAAAAGGAATTGATAAGGTAAGAAGTTGGTTGAAAAAAGAAAGAAGAGGATTTAAAAAAAAAAAGTGATCAGGCAGGAGACTAGAACAAAGCCATACACTAGAGATTTAGGGTATTTTTTGATCTGTTAGAAGAAACTGTATCTCAAAATTTTAAAGAGAGAACAACTTATATATATATATATATAAATAAGTTATGTGTGTATATATATATATATACCAAAAATAAGAGTAACTACTATGAAGGGATAGAATAGGACTCTAAAAATGAAAAATAAAAAATATTTTTTAAAAAAGGGATTGATAAGATGTTGGCTGAAAAAGGGGGAAAGAAAAATCCAAAGAAAAAAGAAAAGACAGTTAAAAAAATTAACTTTGAAAGACTAATGAATCATGGTAAAAAGCCATGAATTCTCTGTGCAGTATTCCCCTAGCGCTGGAGTTCTCCAGTTCTCCTTGATCGGTAAACTTGGTCTTGGCTTGCTGGCTGTTCGTGCTGATCTTCTGGGGGAGGGGCCTGTTACTGTGGTTCCCAAATGTCTTTGCCGGAGGCGGAATTGCCCCACCCTTGCCCGTTAGGGCTAAGTAATCTGCTCAGGTTAGCCCTGGGGAGCTTTTGTTCCCCGCAAACTTTCCATACAGCTTTGGAGGACGAGAGTGAAAATGGTGGCCTCCCAATCTCCACTCGGAGGAGCCGAGAACTCGGGGCCCCGCTCCTCAGTGCGCCCCCAGAGAAAAGCAGTCACTCCCGTGTCCCTGGTCTCCGGCCGCTCTCCGCGCTCACCCGGCCTGTGACCGAGCGTTTCTATCTCTGGCACCTGACCCCGTGTGGAGTCTCCAAACCCAGCAGATCCCTGCGGTGCGCTCCCGCGCCGCTCCCCCCGGGGGAGAAAGGGGAGTCTCCCCGGATCTGCCGCTTGTTGGGTCCCTGCTGGAGGAGCAGTGGCCCGACTGGGCCGCGGATCACAGTTTATGGCCACCCCGAGCTGAGAGCCCGCGCCTCGGCTCCGTCTCTGCAGCCGGCTTCCCCGCTCTGATACCTGGGAGCTCTGCCGCACTCAGGCACCCCTGGTCTTTCTGTGACCCCGAGGGTCCTGAGACCACACTGTCCCACGAGGGTTCCACCCCCAATTAGCCACTGCAGCGACGTCCCTCAGCGGAGCAGAATTCTACAAGTCCCGGTTTTGTGCTCCGCGGCTCTCCCCCTCCCCCACCACCTATCCTCCTGAATATCGCCTCGGATTCACTTCTCCGCATGTCCTACCTTCCAGAAAGTGGTCACTTTTCTGTTCAGAGAGTTGTTGCTATTTTTTTCTTCAATCTCCTGTTGAGTTCGTAGGTGTTCAGAATGGTTTGATCCCTATCCAGCTGAATTCCTGGGACCAGACGAAATTTAGGTCTCCTACTCCTCCGCCATCTTGCTCCACCCTCCCAATGAGTCTTTAAAATAACCCTGGCATAGACGTAAGCCCCAAATAATTGTAAGCTATGATGTGCCAGGCACAGCTCCGAATGTACCTGTAGACTTGTCTCTTTGAGAATCCTCACATCCCCATTAATAGGTATGCTCTGGTCCCAAGATCAAAGATCAGAAAAGGGGCACAGAGAGGTGCTGTGATTTGGCCAGTTACCTTGCTAGTACATGGCATCAAGAATAAAATAATAAAATAAAATAAAGAGAATAAAAACTACAAAGTGGATTTGAGTCTAAACACTAAGCCCGAATACTGGACAAGCCCCCAGGTTTTTCCATAAGAGAAAGAACCTTGTGGGGACGGAGCTAAAGAGAGTATCTGGTACATGGTATGCTCTACCAAATATGGATTAAAGCTGTCCTCTTGGGTGGGTTTTCATTTTCTTATATTTTCATGTCTCCACAGGTCTGGTCTGTTCTCTCTTCCACGTGGTTGTCTTTATCACTGGCACTAAGGTTCTAGGTCTTGAGTGAAGATGAGTGATGTGAATCTGAAGTCTGGCCCTTTTGCCTACTCTTCCTCCCGCTCTTCTTGTTCTTCCTCCAGCTCTTCCTCTTGGTCTTCCTCCAGCTCTTCCTCTTGCTCTTCTAGCTCTTCATCTTCTCCTTGTTATTTAATCTCATCCTTGATGTCCTCTGCCTCCTCCAACTCCCCTTTTGAAAATGGGGTCATGCTGTACATGGTCTATTTAAGCAAGGAGGAGCTACAAACATTCAAGCAGCTTTTAGTGGATGAGAACCCCAGGCCTGGCTCTGTCCAGATCACCTGGGACCAGGTGAAGACAGCCAGATGGGGAGAGGTGGTTCATCTCTTGGTGGAGTTCTTCCCTGGACGACTAGCTTGGGATGTGACTCATGACATCTTTGCCAAAATGAACCAGACAGAACTGTGTCTTCGGGTACAGATGGAGCTAAATGGTGAGTAATAATCTGGCATACAAAATGGGGATGGGGGGACACCTGGGTGGCTCAGTTGTTAAACAGCTGCCTTCAGCTCGGGTCATGATCCCAGGGTCCTGGGATCAAGTCCCACCTCAGGCTCCTTGCTCAGCAAGGAACCTGTTTCTCCCTCTGCCTGCCACTCCTCCTGCTTGTACTCTCTCTCTCTAGCAAATAAATAAATAAAATCTTTTTTAAAAATGGGAGTGGATTTGAGTGTTAAAGAACTAAATACTTTACTGGCTACCCATATTGGCCACCTGAACAAGAAGGCAAATAGTGGAGTATGCCGATGACTCTGACCCCAAAAGTCAAAGACCATTATATTAGCATAGTTTTTTGTTTTTTGGTTTTTTTTAGATTTTATTTATTTATTTTACAGAGAGAGAGAGACAGCGAGAGCAGGAACACAAGCAGGGGGAGCAGGAGAGGGAGAAGCAGGCTTCCCGCTGAGCAGGAAGCCCGATGTGGGACTCGATCCCAGGACCCCGGGATCATGAGCTGAGCCGAAGGCAGACGCTTAACGACTGAGCCACCCAGGCGCCCCTATATTAGCATAGTTTTAAAAAATTTAACCAGATATTGCTTATTTGGTATCTATATATAGTCTATCTTCATTATTTATGGATTCCATGTTTGTGAAGCTGTGTATTCACTAAAATTTATTTGTAACTCCAGAATCAGTAATTGTGACACTTTCATAGTCATTTACAGACATGTAGGGTGGAGAAAACTTGGACACAGATGTTCCCAGCTGCAGTTGAATAAAGCAGCGCTCTGCCTTCCTACCTGTGCACCCATCCTGTAAACAAGTGTCCTTTCCACAGTCTATTTGGTGGTGCTACTTTATGTTTTTGTGTATCTTGTTGGTGATGTTGCTGTTTAACCTGCCCCCCACTCCAGCATAGTGGTGAAGGGCTGTTTAGCATGTTTAGCATCATAAGCACAGAGGAAATATATGTGTTGCAAAAGCTTCATTCAGGCATGAGTTATAGTGCTGTTGACTGTGAGTTCAGTGTTCATGTATCAATAATATATACTGAATAAGATTTCTTTAAACAAACAAACAAACAAAAAACCACATAGACCATGGTTATGTACTGAAGAGTCAAAAATGTTGTAAGCAGAGGCTACAGGAACCTAACCCTATATTCATGGGGCTAACTGAATATTCATAGTAATTTTATAGAACATAAATAGCACGAATAAGAAGAATCAATGACTCTATATGTATGTGTTTGTGTGTATATACACATGATTATTTTCATATACGTACATATAAATATGTACATAGGTAGATATATACACATACATATATATGTGCACATGCATAGATTTTAAAGTCTGCATATATTTTACATATACATATGCATGTGTGTTTGTGTATATTGCTCCCTCTGTGTTTGACTGAGCTATCAATTTATGTTACTGAATACTTCATCAGTACATCCTAAAACAACACCATTTTCTCACTTCCTAACATCATGATGGAGTCTAGGCAATTTTCTTCTCCCTGGACTAAGGTGGTGAGAGAATGGGACTCTCGGATGGTGTGGTTGCTCCTATCCTGAAGGGGCCCATTCCTTCCATGTGGCTTTCCCTGTCCTGTCAATCATTCCAGTGCAACAGTCTCCTTTCCTGTCTGTTCCAGACATTCTACCCAACCTGGAGCCAGAGGACCCGAACCCAAGAGAAATGCCAGTGAATTTGGAGGAAGGAGAATCTGGTATGTCCTGGCATTGTGACAAAGCCTGGAGGAAAATGAACTGTGGGTTGGGGTAAGAAGCTTGGTTCCTGAGGCAAGGCAGATTGTAAATTAGTACGTCAGCATCTCTTCTATGAATCAGAATTTTAAGAAAAAAGAGTAGTTGTAGACATACCTAACTCAGAAGTCCAGCCACCAGCCCAGCTGGAGGCATTGAGTGATGTCGGCGAGGCATCTCTTCTGCCCTTCTCCTAGTTGCCTCTTCTCTGTGGGACTCAGCCTTGGGTGGTTTCTCCTACCGCAGTGGCCATGTTGGGCCACCAACTACCTTACATTGTATCTGTTTAGCACCATCAGCAGAACGAGGAGTATTTTCTCATTGCTTCAGCACTCATCCTAGAACTAACTGAGCTGAATGAACTGAGGTCACGAGCTCAGCAATGAATGAAATGATGAAGTGCTCTGGTTGGCTAAGACTGGCCCACGTACTTGTGTGAGGAGATGAAGTCAAAAGGAGCTGAGGGCCCAAGGGCAACACTCTAATCTATTATGAAAGTACACAGTAAGTGAGGTGTGGGATCCCCAGTTCCAGCCTTAGCACAGTTAGATTTCACCCATTCAACAAACACTGGAGGGCTGATGTTCTGACACCACAGTCGGAGCCAGAGTTGTAAATTCTACTTTATTCTGGAAATGGCAGGCTGGAGGCTTAGAGATTCTGTGACTTGCTTATCCTCATAAAGCTAATAAGTAAATAGATCTTGAACTTGTAGTAAGCTTCCTCCTCTCTATCACCTGGAGGTGGAGGGAATGAAGTTGGAGTCAGACATCATGTCTAATTTGTAAAGTTTCCTGTTGAGGGGAGGGGAGAGAGAATCACAGGTTGAGATAAAGGCTGTGACAGATCCTGTTAACTCCCTACCCCATATCTCATGTGTTGACAGAATATAATTTATTTAGGGATAAAGTGGACCCAGCCCTAAGGGAAATACTTTTTTTCCGGGTTTCCTTAAAGTTGGGGTTAACCATCTGATGGCGCTAAGGCCACGAGATATAAGTAGAAGTCTCCTGAGTGCTTCAGTTTGTACCGATAGATGTATACATGAGCTGTGAACATGTCCCTCCTCCCCACTATTTCTGCTTTGAATACAAATATAACTTAGGACATAACGATAACATAACTACAGCAGTAATCTCCTAATCATGAGGCAAGAGGTATAAAGAATGTACTTACAGAAATGCAGTGTTACTTGGTCCTGATGCTGCAGAACCACTGAGTCAATTTCAACAGCTTTACACACCCCTCCCCAAATTTATTAAGTAAAAAGCAGTCCTTCTCTGTTTAAGCCACTTCAAGTTGACTTTTCTGATTACTCACAGCTTCTTCATTGGTGCAGTGTTGTCAGGAAAAGAGCATGATGTGTGCAGGTGTGTCATGGGACTTGATGTAGACGTCAAGGCTAGTTTTCTTTTCGTTCAATCGGTTCTTAAATAACTCTGACACTGTACCCTGTATTTCTCCCACCTTGCTAATCTAGATAAAATACAAGAATACAAACTGCACATTATGGATGAGTATTCCATGATACGTATCGTGACCACTTGGTTTGGGACCCACGTAGACTTCTTCTACCAAGACATAGAGAGACACGAGAGGTTCTTACCATGTCTTTTTCTTCCCAAAAGACCTCAAGGTAGACAGCCCAAGACTGTAGTCCTACAGGGAGTCGCTGGGGTTGGAAAAACAAGCTTGGCCAAAAAGGTGATGTTGGAGTGGGCAGAAAACAAGTTCTACCCCCACAAGTTCTGGTGTGCTTTCTACTTCCATTGCACGGATATGGCCCAGGTGGATGAGCAGAGCTTCTCCGAGCTGATTGCCCATAAGTGGCCCGGGGCACGGTCTCTCATGTCCAAGATTATGTCCAAACCAGACCAACTTCTGCTCCTCTTTGATGGCTTTGAGGAAGTAACACTGACACTCACGGATAGACCAGCTGACCTGAGTGATGACTGGAGCCAGAAATTGCCTGGGTCTGTCCTCCTGACCAGTTTGTTGAGCAAAAAAATGCTTCCTGAAGCCACCTTACTGATCACCCTGAGGTTCACATCTTGGAGGAAACTTAAGCCCTTCCTAAAACATCCCTCTTTTATAACACTTACAGGGTTTAGTATGATGGAAAGAGCCAAGTATTTCAGAACATATTTCAGAAACAAGAGGGATGCTGATGAAGCCTTGAGTTTTGTCATGGGAAACACAATTCTCTTCTCCATGTGTCAGGTCCCTGTGGTTTGCTGGATGGTGTGTTCTTGTCTGAGACAGCAGATGGAGAGAGGAGCAGATCTTGCACAGTCATATCCAAATGCCACAGCTGTATTCGTCCAATATCTGTCTAGCTTATTTCCAACCAAACCTGGAAGACTTCCCAGTAACACTCATCAGAAGCAACTGGCAGGTCTGTGTTACTTGGCTGCAGAAGGTATGTGGAACATGCGATGGGTATTTGACACGAAAGACCTTGAGCAAGCCAAGCTGGATAAGACCGCTGTTGCTACTTTTCTCCGTGTGAATATTTTTCAAAGGGTGGCAGGTGACAGAGACCGTTATGCTTTTGCCGTCATAAGCTTCCAGGAGTTTTTTGCTGCCTTGTTGTACGTTCTGTGCTTCCCACAAAGACTCAGAAGTTTCTGGGTGTTGGACCGTGTTCAGATCATACGCCTGATAACATATCCCGGAAGAAAAAAAAACTATCTTGCTCAGATGGGGCTTTTCTTATTTGGTCTTTTAAATGAAACATGTGCTTCAGCTGCAGGGAAGTCATTTGGATGCAAGCTGTCCCTGGGTAATAAGAAGAAATTGCTGAAAGTGGCAGCCCTGTCATATGAATGTAACCCACCAACCGTGCACCATGGCGTCCCACAGCTATTCTACTGTCTGCATGAAATCCAGGAGGAGGCATTTGTGAGTCAGATCCTAAGTGATTGTCAGAAAGCTGCTTTGATCATCAACAAGAAGAAAGACATGCAAGTGTCTGCTTTTTGTCTTAAGCACTGTCAACGTTTGCGGGATCTAGAACTGACTATTACTCTGACCATCACCCAAGTGTGCTCACTCCACCCGGATCCCCTCCATTCCACTGAGTGAGTGCTCTTATCTTTCCTTTGGCAACCTGTGCTTCCCAGGGACCTTGCCTACCATCCCCCAGGCATCCAGAGTGACCAGCTGTCCTGAGGCCGTCCCTCACACACGGGACTTTCAGTTCTAAAACCAGGGCAGGAGGTGCTTCTAGGATGCAGATTTCCATGCTAAAACTAGGAGAATCCTGGAAAAGCAAGATGATTTGTTTACCTTCCCTATCTCTAGTCTGCATGCCCTCCCCTCCCTTATATGTGGGACCTTGCTTCACCTGTCACCCCCACTTCTGTGTACCACCAGCTTGTTAGTCTCTAGGGAAGTGCTGTTCAATGGGTCTTTCTGTGATGGTGGAAATCCACTATCTATGTGTGACTACTGAGCACTTGGAATATGGCTAGTGTGACAGAGGCACTGCATTTTAAATTTCATTTAACTTTAATTAATTTAAATTTGAATAGTCACGTGTAGCTAGTGGCCACCATATTGGGCAGCACAGCTCCAAGGGAGATTTCCTTTCAGTGTAAAAACATCACTTCCATCTTTCATTAGGAAAAAAAGAACTGAAAACTACATGTCCTCATCAGGGGACTATCACATCTCCCTCCTTGTTTTCCTACCAAACACCTTGAAAACACCACTTCTATTCACTGTTTCTTCCCTACTCCCCACTGTGATCTGAAGTGGGTGTTCTGGCTTCCTGGGCAAGAGTTTGAGTTCTCCATCTCCTCCAGAGACCAACGAACTGTGTGTCTTTGGACAAGTTTACCTAACTTTTCTGGGTCTGTTTCTTCATGAGTAAATGATTTTAAAAAAATGATTTAAAAAAAATGATTAAAAAAAATAGTACACACCCCACAAGGTTTTTATGAAGATTAAATGAGATAATAGGCATGATACACCAAACCTGTCTCAGCCTTTAGTTCCTACCAATAAATACAAGCTATAATTACTAATGTGATTCTTATTCCCACCACTCAACTGAAATACTCTCTCAGAAGATCTATACTTAAATATAGTGGATTTATTTTTCTTAAGAAGTGACAGTACTGACTACTCATTTTCTCATACAGTTTTCATACTTTGCCCTATACCAGACATGGTGCCAGGTATTTTTACTTTATGTGAATTATTCCTTTTAATGTCACCATTGGACACCATGAAGCAATGGAGGTCAGATAGAGTCATAACTTGTCCAAGGTCACACAGCTTGTTGAAGCTAAGACTTAAACTGAAATCGGACCTCTGGTAGCTATGATGAAGAGCCAGAAAACTAGACTGACCCCTGGTATTGGAGTCACGGGAGGGACCCCAACCCTTCTTGATGCAAAATTAGAGTGCTTCCCTCATTCCTTAGCTGCTCTGTGTAAAGGAGCCACAATCTCTTCCAGACACATTTTTCTTCCATGAAAGCCAGCATAAATCTTAAACGTGTTGCTGGGTTGTTGTCAGGTTCATTTTAAATATCCTATATTAGTCTAATATATGGCTAGATAAATAAAATGGACCTCTTCTGAAGTTAGGGGACATCTAGGTTCTGCTCTGTGTGTCATCACGTCGAACAATGCCCTATCTTCCTCTGGCACATGTGAGTTTCTCCAGGGCAGAGGTAAGCAAATTACGGCCTGGGAGCCAAACCCAGTTTACTGTTGGTTTTTGTAAATAAACTTTAGTCAGATTTCAGCCATGCTTGCCTATGACATATGTTCCAACTGCCACCACACTGCTACGGCAGAGTTGGGAGGTTTCCACAAATTTCTTGGTTTATGAAAGCTGAATATATTTGCTAGCTGACCACTTACAGAAGAAATTTGCCAACCCCTGTGCTAGGGTATATTGTTAGAAAAGGAATTGCCCAATCACAGGGTGCACACATCACATCTTTAACTTTATATCACAGATAGCTCCAAATTTAATGATTCCACAGGAAAGACTACTTTATGTCTACTTCCAACTGATGTGAGCAACTCCAAACAGCTCAGTTTTGCATATTGGTCTTCCCAACAAAGACCTCAAAAGTCTAACCGTAATGTCTTGATATAAGTCTGAATAATCTTAAAACCTAACATTAGAAGAACTTTTAAAAGGTGAGAAATTTCCTTCGTGTCGGTCAGTCTGTTGATAACTTTTGAGACAGTTCTTGAAGGGAGTTGGTCTATTTATTCCTGCTTTTTGGAGCTATAATTGACATATAGCCTTGTGTGTGTTTAAGGTATACAAGGTAGAGATTTTATATATGTACGTGTGTGTGTGTGTGTGTGTGTGTGTGTGTGTGTGTGAGATGAGAACTTTTACTCTCAAATGACTTTCAAATATCCAATATGGTATTGTCATTGATAGTCATCCAGCTGAACAGTACGTCCCCAGAATCTATTCATCTTATAACTGGGGCTTTGTACCCTTTGACCACCTGTATCCACTTCTCCCACTCCCATACATGGAGTTAGTATTATTTTTATGTGTTTGCATTTAAAATGGGTGTGAAAAGCACATGGTTTTATTTTATGGGATTTCATCTTAAACAAAAATGGCATGCTAGTGTAAGAAGTATTCTGAAATTTTCTTTTTTCATCTAATGTGTCTTAGAAATATTTTAATGTCTGTGTACACCTTCTCCAATGAGGTGTACTCAAGTCTTCTAGGTGTATCGGAGATGATTAAACCAGTGCCCCCTTCATTTGCTTTTCAGTTATTTACAACTATCTAATACGAACAGCATGAAACAAAAATCCTCACAGTATCTCTTGGCCAACCTCTCTGAAAAGACTGCACAGGGAAAAAAGAAGGGGAATATGTAGCAGGTCCTTCCAGAGTCCAACTATATCCCATATTGGTCTAGCTGTGGATTTTCCTTTCCTGTACTCACCATGCCAAAAGAAATTAATTTTTCCCTTATTCTGTTCCTACATAGAATTGTTTTTCTTTTTAATAATTTTCTAAGCAAAGAATAAGAATATAGGATACGGATATAATTCAATCTCCCAGCAACTTTGGAGTATACCATACAGTATTGTTGACTACTGTCACAATGCTGAGCATCAGATCCCCAGAACTTATGACCAACATCTGCCCATTTGCTAATCACTTCTAGATTTAATTCGTCGATAAATATGTGAGGGCCTTTCTGTGAGGTCTGAACTGAGTTCTCAGCTCAGCGTGGCCTCCCTGGTTGGGTGACCTTATGTAGATCACTTACCTTCCAAACTTCAGTTTCGGGTCCACAGGAGAGAGTGCATGATGCCTTCTCCTTAAGATGGGTGTGGGAATTAATATACACGACACCTG